GGGGGGGTGAGGGCTAAACACAAAAAAGCAAAGATAAATGACTTATAGGCAACTTATTGTGTGACCAGATGCTTAGCTGTTTTCTTTTGTTTTTTTTCTTCTTTTTTTTTTAATATATGGATGAGATTGTAATTGATATTTCGAGTTTGAATTCTGAATATAATTTTTTTTAGTGTAAATTTGAATTTAATCAGACTTTAATACGATTATAATGAAAAATTAAAAAATATATAAATAATATTCCATTCTTTTTTTTATAATCAATAACATCAACAACTAAAAAAAATATGTTTGAATTTATTTGATTTGATTAAGAGTAAAAAGATTGAATTAATTAATGTTTGATGTGAGTTTGGATGTAGTTTACATGTTTTAAAACTATATAAAAAGTAATATAAGTTATAATAGTTAATAATTTAAAATATTTTTAGAAATTTAGAAGCTATATAAAAAGTACTATAAGTTATACTCGATGAAATGTATAACAAGTCATAATAATTAACAATCTAGAATATTTGAAAAATTATGAGCAAAGCAAGTAGCTTTTGATTGTCTAGATAGTAATTAAAAAACAAATTGAAATGGAGAGAGTAATAACTTTTCTATATTAAGTGATATTTAAAGTTTTAAATATACGTTACACTAAAAAGTTATGATCAAAGAAAATACTATTTGACTGTCTAAATAGTAATTAAGAAAAAAAACAAATTAAAATGAAGAGAGTCATATTTTTTAGGTTGACTAATAATTTAACTTTTTAGATTGATGCTATTAATGAGATGATTAATATTTATGACTTGTTTTATATTACAAGTTTTTTTAAGATTTTTTTTTTTTAAAAAAATTGTGTCTAGTTAACCATTATATATCATATAGATTGGAACGGAAGGATTAGATTGATGCTATTAATGGGATTATTAATATTTATGACTTGTTTTTTATTATAAGTGTTTTAAAAAAAAAAAAAACTATTTTAATTCCGTGTCTAGTTAACCATTATGATCAAAGCAAGTAGCTTTTAATTGTCTAGATAGTAACTAAAAAAACAAATTGAAATGGAGGGAGTAACAATTTTTCTATATTAAGAGATAATTTAAAGTTTTAAATGTACGTTACACTTAAAAAGTTATGATCAAAGAAAATATCATTTGACTGTCTAAATAGTAATTAAGAAAAAAACAAATTAAAAGGTAACATTTTTTATATTGACTAATAATTTAACTTTTAGATTGATGCTATTAATGAGATGATTAATATTTATGACTTGTTTTATATTATGTTTTTTTTAACAAAAAACAACTTAATTTCGTGTCTAGTTAACCATTATCATTTAGATTGGAACAGAAGGATATTACTAACTACTTGCTTTAATTTATGTAATATAATTTGATCTAGAAAAATTATACTTAAGTTAAAAGCATTCAGAATCCTTTTTAGTTTATAAGTATTTTTATTTTCATTTTTAATCTTTTTTTGTAGTTCTTGAGATACTCTTTTTCCAAAATAAATTTCTTAACTAGCACTCCGAATTCTATTTTTGCTGCTTATCATTCTCCTAATAAAGATACAATGTAGTTGTGTTTAAAGTGATAATTTTTCAGCACGAATTTTGATTAGTTGAGTGCTAAAGAAAGTATAAAATATCTTGTGGAAAATCAAAAGAACATCTCACTTAGTTAACACTTGTAATCGAAACATATTGAAGACAAATTATATTTGAATTTATATCAAATATTAATTAATTTATTCTTCATATTCTGAATCAAGTCAAATAAATTGAAACAAATAAAGTACGAGTAACTATTAAACTATAAATCTCAATGTTAACCTTATCATACTCTATGTTTAACTAATTTTATCATAAAAATTACTAATTAAGTAAATATAAAATATATGAGAAGAAATGAAATAAATAAAAGAAGTGAAGTTCTTCACGTTAACTTCACTTTTTATTTTGTTTTGTGCGTCTTTTTTTCTTCTATTTTTGTTTTTTTTCTGTTTACTTTTGGAAGAAGGCTCTAGGTGGTTTCACAAAATGACATTTTTCAAAAGCCTTTTTAGTTGAGAGAGGGACAGTTTAAGCTCTTTTATTTCCTACTATATGTTAAAAGAGTTTGGTTGGGGATTTTTAGGTTTTGAAGATTAATTGTGTGTGGTTTGGAAGTAAAATGTTTATCTACCATTGCACAATTATAATAAATACGATATAGAGAGAACCAGAACTTAAAAAGATGAGATACGTAATTTTAAAAAAAATATTTATATGTCATATCAAATCATCAAGAAAGTAATACTGAAAGTAGAATCGTTCTAAATTCATTGAAAATAGATTAATGATCTTCCAAGTAAAGATGCAAATTGTATTGTTATTTTCAAGAATAGAAAACTAAAAAAAACATCACGTGATTTCGAGATCATAACCCTATTTATACATGTATGCACATATTTTATGTATTTCTAATTTAACAACTATCATTAAATTAGAAACTAATATATAAAAGACGTCATACTTTATGAAGTGTCCTTTAGATTCATTTAATTTTAAACCTTACTATTGTTCTGAATCAACCTTTTTAAGATAGCAATGATTACCAATAGCATACCTATGTATTATATAATTAGTTAATTACACAATATATATAAAGCCCATAAATTCCAACATATCTTTCATATACATTTGGAATATCTTTTATAGACATATATCATTTTATATATAATTATAATTAAAAAGCATTTTCACCTATTTTAATTATTAAAATTATGTATAAGTATTTGCGTGTTAAAACTGTCTAGGTTTCTTGAGAATGGCACCAAGCTCTTATTATTTTCCCTTTCCATGGATTCTTTTTCTAACAAAAAGTTATGTTATTAGGAATGATTTATTAGAGTTGGGACATAAAAGTTATATAACTTCATAAATATTAATTCACTTAATGCATGGCTATGTGGATTGAGTATCTTCATTCAAGCGATGGTACAGAACAAAATAAAGTTAGAGTTTACGGGGTAGGAAAAAGGGTCGAGTCAATTAGGCGCGACGATCTGCATAAACAAAACAAAATCAGAATTTGGCTGAAAAAAATCAAAGCTATAGATATCATGACCAATCATCATCGATAAAGAAGACTCTTTCTAAATCACTTTGTATCAATAGGACCTTCAACCATATGAAATACACCGAAATTGATAATAACTTACTAATAGAAAATAACTCCTTCAAAAAAAAAACTTATGCAAGTTCTTTTTTCTCTAAAGAAGTCCCGTTGCAACCACTACTCACTAAACCCTAAAAAAAAAACTTTGGTCTAGAAATTAAGTAGAAAATTGGGAGGTGTTTAGGCTATCAATTCTCAAAAAAAAAAAGTACACAATGGGACAAAGTTTTAAAATTATTTAGAATTAAACAGAAAATATTATACTATATAACAAAAAAAAATTATAAGTTACTTCAAATTCTTCTCTTTTCTTTCAAGTCAATTTCTACCTCATAAAAGATAAAGATAAAATCTTCTTATATTCTATTTTTCAAGACCCTACATATAAAATTTACATAGGATATTTATTGTAATTTTATAGGTATGATTTTTGAAGCAACACAATACAATCATTACCCACCTAGATAAAGTTGATTGATTGTATATGATTTGCATGGCAAGTTATTAAAATGTATATAATAAAAATAATCATTTCAACTATACTTTTTTCCTTTTTGTGGTTGATATCATCTTTCATTAATTTAATAAATACTCCACAGAGTATATACAGGCTTTCATTATGACAATTATTTTTTTTCTTTTGAAGGAATGACATTTTTTGTCAATTTTGACAAGTTATTCTAAAGCTTTAAAAAGTTAACCAAGTATTATTCAACAAATAGAAAAAGAAAGAAAAAAATAAAATTATTTACCAGAAGAAGACAATTCAAAAAAAAAAAAATTTAAAAAATAGTTTAGAGGGCCCAATTCAGTTCAAAATCATGTGAGAAATACGGCCATAATTA